TGTATGTATGTATGTATGTATGTATGTATGTATGTATGCATGTATGTATATATACAGTATATATGTATATATAAGTTGTATTGTGTTATATCTTTTAAATTTATTAAAGCAGTTGTTAAACTAAGAAGGTTCATATAATTCATACAGCTGATGTCATCTCATTGTGGCTGTAATGTAATCTGTGCAGGGACTTTAAACAGTGACAATGACTTTGCAATCTTTGTGTGAATACTTAGTTGTTCTTGCTTTCAGGTTTCATGTACAGTATTATTATTACTAGTGGGCTTTTATTTAAAACTTTCAACAATGATCAACTATAGCCCCAAATTTTCCATGTGACCAGAGCATTTGGCAACTTGATCYTTAGGCAAAATACATCTGGTCAGGCAGATTTAAGAATGTCAGTTTATATAATACCTTTACTGTTTGTTGAGATGTGTGTATGATGAMMCARAGCTTACAGTACTGGTTTAACAACRCTTTCTTTGAATGTGTTTTAGGTAAGATCACTCTGAGAGACCTCAAGAGGTGCAAGATGGCCCACATCTTCTTCGACACTTTCTTCAACATTGAAAAGTACCTGGACCATGAGCAGAGAGACCCTTTCTCTGTTATCAGGGTGTGTAAGAGCTGAGAAGATGGTTTAACATCTGCAGCAGGATCGCACTGAATTTCCTGTTAGAGATCAGGTGAGTTGTTTGACCCTCTTTGTTCATTTTTATTTCTTGTTTCAGGAAGTGGAAACAGACGGTCAGGAGGTGTCAGACTGGGAGAAATATGCTGCAGAGGAGTATGACATACTGGTGGCTGAGGAGGCCGCCAACAACATTTGTACTGATGAGTAAGTGTGGCTCGACTCCTCGCTCTGTCAGAATCCACTGCTGCAACTCTGCGCCACATTAATCAAAATAATAAAAACATAACTCATTTAGAAAAGTTTGTTTTTCATTTTTAGAAAAGTTTTTATGTTTTTATTTATTTTTGTGTTATAAATATGTACTTTTTTCATATTTTTAAGGTTTGTGAACAAATTTTGCTACGGTTGTTTATCAGAAATGCAGATCCTGGCTTAAATAATATGTGACTATTACTCATGTAGTTTGTGCTTATAAAAACCTGTTGGGTTTACCTTTTACAGTAATTTATTGAGCTCTGATTTATATGTAACCTGACAAATATTAAAGCGAGACAAATTAAACTTTTTAATTCTGAATGACTCCTGAAATTTGCTAAAGAAGCTGAAACTGAMTTAAAACTAAATTAAGCAGAACAGTATAGACTAAAAGTAGCAAAAGCAAGCTGGAAGCTAAAAGGAACAAACTTTTTGAGAGCTAAAAACAACAGAATGGTAGCTAGTAGCTATGCAGTTCAGTTACTTATTAACTCATTCAACAACTTATATACAGCAAAAAAAAAAGCAAAATCAGGTAAAAATAAAAAAAGAAATGAAAAAGCAAATCAAGCCATGAATGAAGAGTGCAGAGTGAAGAAAAAATCTTATTTTAAGATAATAAGTAATGCCCCTTAAGAGAGGTTTCAAAGGGAACAATGTTTATGGAGGAATCTTTTTATTTTTTATTTTTGGAGGGGGGGTGTAAAAATAAAGGTAAAATTTTGAAAACCATAAAAGTTGCTAAAAACAAAAGTTTAAGCACCCACCTCCTGAATGAGCTGAACAATTTGATACATGAAAGGCTAAAACAGCACAAAGTATCTGAAAGTATTTATAAAACAACAGAACCTCTGACAAACAGAACAGCTGAGCTGTAGTGTGAAAACTGACTCAACATTCACACTGTTGTGTGTTGAAGAAGTAAGGCGTTGTGTTGAACAGCTCCGCCCCTCTGACAGTGAAGAAGTCCTAAACCAGGTGTGTTGTTTGGTGATTTTTAGGAACCTCTAAAGYCAGGCTTCACCTCAGAGCAGGTAAGACACTGGCTACCAGCAGTGAATATGGTTTTCCTCCTCCTCATCCTCACTCACGTCTGGACTAGTCCAGTCCCAAACCCACTCCCAGTTCTCCCTGTTCCCACCAGTGGACGTATTGGATAGAAAGCAGCTGTCGTCCAGTCATGTGCACACGGAGTCGTTTTTGGAACCAGAGTTTCTGTTTTACTCTTTATTTTGTTTAATAAACCAAGCTGTACCTGTCCCTTCATGTGTTCTACCTGTGTCCACTCCAACCACAGACMCCTTTTGGTTTAAAAATGTGCTTCACTGTTTTTGAGGATCTGTTTTTCTCTTGTGTTGAGGCTTTGATTTGATAGCTGACTTCACGAATTCTTGCTTTTAGCATATTTTAAAACAGTTTACACCAGGGGTGGGCAATCCTGGTCCTCGAGGGCCGCAGTCCTACATGTTTTACAT